CCGTTCATTTTATTTAAAAAAATTTATAAATTTTATTAAAAACTTAAGTAGTAGTAGTATATTTAACAATGAATAAAATGGTAGGAAAAGAAGTAATAATTATTTAAATTTTTTGAATAAGATAAATGGTCAAACATGTTTAAAAAAATCAACGGCGTTAAATATTAAAAATCAACGGCGTTAAATATTTAGTGACGGAGGGAGTATCTAGCTAGAGAGTTTAAGACCTAACGTATACTGTATACATACGATGATACGACCGTACGCTACGTACATGACATGATGTGCTATGCGCGTGTTAATGGGACTTTGATCGAACAGTGACATTCACCAAAGTGATCAAATCAACATGACAAACATGAACCTGATGACTGACGGCACTGCAGCTGGTTACGTGCTTGTTTGCCTTGCCTGAAATGCTGGATTTTAATCCACCCAACTTTGATCGCTTCTGTTGTGTATACTCCCCCGTCCCATAATATAAAAAATTTTAACTTTTTGATTGTACTGTTTGACCATCCGTCTTATTTAAAATTTTTTAGAATTATTATTTATTTTACTTGTGACTTACTTTATTATTCAAAGTACTTCAAGCATAACTTTTTATTTTTTACATTTGCACAAATTTTTTGAATAAGACGAGAGTAATCAAACAGTACAAGCAAAAAGTCAAAATCACTTATATTATAGGACAGAGGGAGTAGTAGTACTAATTGTGCACATGACGAAAATTACATATGACTCATGTGCATGAGTGTACTCCCTCTGTCCCAATTAAAACCAACCTTGATACGATTTGACGTAATCTAGTACAATGAATCTGGACATACACTAAACTACGTTAAATCCAATTCTAGATTGTTTTTTACTGGGACAGAGATAGTATTATGTATTTTTTTTCTTTTTTTTTCTCATCAAGATAGGCCTGCATGGATGCATATATGACAAACATATTGGGGACCGCCTATGCATCACTCGGGTGATTTTTGAGAAAAAATCACCCAGATTTTTTCTTTCCTTGGATTTGCATCCAACGGACTACAAAATAAAATAACTAATGCAAATTTACTTACACAACATTTTTTTTCAAAATTACAGTGCACTTACCTGTCATATCAACTAAATTTACATATGTAATTTTAGTTATATAGGACTGTAATTTTATATTTGAAATAAAATAACTAATGCAAATTTATTTACACAATATTTTTATCAAAATTACGTGCACTTACATATCAACTAAATTTACATATGTAATTTTAGTTATATAAGACTGTAATTTTATATTTTAAAGAAAATAATAAGTACATATTTACTTACACATTATTTTTATTTTTATCAAAATTACAGTGCACTTACATGTTAAATCAACTAAATTTACAAATGTAATTTTAGTTATATAGGACTGTAATTTTATATTTTAAAGAAAAATAATAAGTACATATTTACTTATACATTATTTTTTATCAAAATTACAGTACACTTACATATCAAATCAACTAAATTTACAAATGTAATTTTAGTTATATAGGACTGTAGTTTTATATTTCACGACAACGATGAGAGGGACGGTGTCTCTCGCCGATCAGTATTGGCCGTGCTACCGGCGGCTGGCTCACCGGTCAGAGGCCACTGTGTTACCGTGCTTCTCCGATCTCCATTATCGTGTGCGCTTAGCTAGCTAGACACGAAAGCCGACGTGCTGGTGTCCAACGCGCCGGCTAACGAGGCTGCAAAAAAAACGTGAAATGTCAGAAAAAAAATCACGCGAGTGATCAATAGCAAAATTGAACATATTGATGGGTAAACGCATTAATTATTGTTATGAGTTACCTTTGGGAACACACATCGTTATCTAAAAAATCCTTTGGGAGCACGTACCATTATCTCACTAATCTATTAAGCAAAAAGTGAGTTCAAATACACTTTGTAGGCGCATCAATCGATCAGATATTATCTACACAAAAAGGGATGCATGAAAGTCGTGCAAGATTTGGAGGCGAAAAGGTGATCCAAATACTGACCGCCGTATTATCAGCAGACAGCTCAAAATAAATAAAGGCAATAATTAAACTACGAGCTAGGTATAGACAAAGCAAATTGTAAATAATTAAACTTGCATGAGGTATATATAATATATATGCACTTTGTGAGACGACGCGACGACATGATCGGATGATGTTGTGGTATGTTATGCACACTCCACTAGCGATCGATAGGAGCATGCACGTCTAATTAGCCCGGTGACATGGTGCTTGTAGAAGAAGTGAAGAAGTAAACAATAACTGATATCTAGTTGTACCATCTTGAGTGCATATCAAGAAAATAGCTTAGGTAATACTCTGGTCCGATAGTAAATAGGAGTAGCCACATGTCATGAGAAATAGTGTCTGACTGTTTTTATGTCATTTGATAAAAATACCTCACAAAAATCTTTTGAATTTTGAACCATCAGATTGCTTTAAGATTTATGCAATATACCCCTAAACCTAACCTCACCCCTCCTCTTCTCCCTCCTTGCCCCCTCTATATGGTGGCGTCTCTCTGTTAGATTCGTCACTAGTGACCATTGCCTCCTAATCACAGGCTTGTTTTGCCCCCGCAACAATCCGCAGCCCTCCATCCCATGCCTCTAACGCCGTCAGTTGTTGGCTCCTCATTGCTCGTCTGAGTCCCGTCCATTATCGGACTATTGATATCTGCTCCATGGACATCCCTCTATGTCTTGCAATCTCACCCCCCTCATTTTCTCCCTATGCATAGAAATTTAATGTAATTTTCAGACGACCTAGTTCAATTCTTCAAAAAAATTTGGAGGAATTGAATTTAAATCGGGAGAAAAGTCATGTACAATATATATATCTATATGGGTTAATTAACTACTAGTACTACCTATGTTTTGCATGTACTCTAGTATATATCCATATGAGGGGCTACCGTGTGGCATTTTTTCAGATTATTACTGTCCAAATCTACTTGTCTTTAATGCTTTCTTCCAAATCTACCGGTGGTTATTGGCAAAGATCATCACGAGAGGCTAGCTGGAAATACAGCAAGAGGTAGGGTTTTGCATGTAAGAGAAGTTGATGAACAGAGAGAGAGAGAGAGAGACAGTGGGAGCAGTGAGAGAGGTACAGCCAATGGCGATCGAGGGAGAGACAAGGGTGGGACCCACCACAGGGACTGGTGGGCCCCACCCCCTGTCAACTCTAACGTCCCTTCTGTCTCCTCTCTTAACTCAGTCCAGTCAGTCACTCCACTGCAACACTTTCTCTCTCTACTTTCTTTACGCCTTTTTCACCCCTCACTCTCTCTCTTCTCTTCTCTCTTCCTGTTAATACTGCTAGGATCTTGATTTGTTACTGTACACTAAAGGAGAAAAGAGGGCGCTGTACAAATTCTTTCTGAATCCGAATCGTGTTCGTGTGGTTTGGTTTTTCGATTTGATCTCATCAGCACTACACCGGCCAGGCCATTTTCTACCTTTCGATCTGTTTTGTGTGTTTGTGGATCGAGGTTACAATAATTTAGCACTACCTATAGGTTGGAACAATCTTCTACTATACCGCCACCTGTCAAAATATAACTGGATGTGTATGCATATATATTTACATCCTAGTAAGTACTGTGATGTAATATTCCATTGGATGGCCAGGCTTTACAAAATTGTTGCTGATCGAATACACCCTCTTGAGCTTTTTTTTTTTGCAAGAACCGATAAGGGTAGGTGGATTTTAAAAATTAAATTTTTGTTTGATTGTTTAATATGACTGGTTATCAAGCATAAGAAGGAAATGACAAAAACCATATATACCTTGTGGTTTTCGTCAGTTTTATGAACCCTAGCTGCAAGCTTTTTAATAATCATGCAGTGTAGTTGAGACTTTGAGTTCTAAATGGCTACTTCATCATTCTTGGTGAGCATGTTTCTCAAACTGCATTTTATGTACAAGTTTTTTGTAATCAAATAAATCCAATTTCATATTTATAATAATTAATATTCGATTAATTTTTTAAGGTCTAATATTCGATTAATCATTAGGGAATTCACTAATAGCTTGTCTTATTCTAGCCAGCACCGAAACGAACTTGTTGGTAGTAATTTATTTGACAGGAATCATATATATTTTCTCACTTTTATTAGGGAAACCGACTGTTCCTCACAATATTCCTAGTACAGAATTAAAGCATCCAGAGGATCCCCGAGGTGTATCCATCGGAAATTAACTGAAAATCATAATATCTTTAGTACTCTTTCGGTCTTTCCCATATAAAATTCAGCTAAGTTGCCTCGACATGATCAGCTTATGTTACAATCCCCATTAAATGTTTTGCTCCGTAGATTGTGAAATTTGCTGTCAGTAATGAAAACGAAAGGTGGACATATTTCCCGTCCGACGGCCGGAGAACGTGTACGAACACGTTCAGTACTTATTTAGATGGCTAATAATCGTGCACATCTGGCGAAATGAGAATAGCTCAATTGATTATGTTCTTACGATGAAACCAGCCGACCCAAGTTCAGGTTTAAACTTGACATGGGTGTTTGTATTTACGGCTATTTATTATTTCATTGATAGGCGATCGTACCAATCGACAACGCGACGCATAGTGATTTCATCAATATCAACATATTTTGGCAGTCTTTCATATGTGTTCATAGGGGTAGCATGTATACTTGTGTGCATTCGGATAAATATACACATGTCATGAACACCTGCGTTTTTTTTTACCGTGTTTCTCAAAAATGAGAAAATAACTCTGAAAGTTTGCATCCAGTCTTAAAAAAAAAAAACTCTGCGTGCATGAAGAAATGTACTACTATGAGTTTTTTTTAGCCAGAAGACCAAATCTGGGCCCAGCCCATAAACTCCCATACAATTTACACGGGCCCAAATTACATGGGCCGAGAGCACAGCGATTCGGCCCAAAAGCTGACGGATTGGGCCCATAAAAGTTCTCCTCCTCCCCGTCTCCGCCTCCACCCGCGAGCGGAGCAGCAGAAGCAGAGCAGAGCGGCGCGCGCGCGAAGAAGCCACCGCCACCGCCATGGCCGCCGCCGCCGCCGCCGCCGACGCCCCCTTCCTCGGCCCCGACTCCCCCGTCCACGGCACCTCCCAGACGGCCTACGTCTCGCCGCTCGCGCTTCTCAAGATCCTCGTCCACGGTACACGCGCGACGCGCGTCGAACACCTTGTGTTTCTTTGGGGTTCGGTGCTCATGTGCGGCGCGACGTGCAGCGGCGCGGGACTCGCCCGTGGCGGCGATGGGGGTGATACTGGGCGAAGAGGTGGACGGCTTCTCGGTGCGCGTCGTCGACGCCTTCCCGCTGCCGCGCTGCGCCGGCGGCGGGGCCTTCACCCAGGCCATCGACCCCCGCTACATCGAGGGCATGCTCGCCATGCTCAACAAAACCGACAGGTAACGAGCGCGCGCTGATCTGTTCTTCTTCTTGTGTTCTTGGTCGAGTCGTGGTTTCTTCTTGCCTTGCTTACCAACCTCCGTGCTCTTGCCTCACCATGTTCACCGCTTCTTGTTTCGGTGGTGAGATTCTTGATCTGAGTTGTTGAAATGTTCTAACCGTAATATTCAGAATCGTCGTTTGCATTTTAATTTCATTAAAGAACGGGGAATCAACTGGTGAAATGCATCGTATGTAGCAATGCCGTCCAATTTCTTCAGGATTTGTTAGTAAAATCGTGGACTCATGCGTCAGGGTAATGTTTAGCCATCAGGTGTTCGACCAATTGACCAAGAGACTACATGGCACGATTCTTGGGGATGCACTTTCTGTATGCCCTGATTTAATCTTTTGTTTTGGGGCACAGTTCTGCAAGAATTCAGAGCTTGAGTTCTGTACCATGAACCCATCTGTTTTTCGCTTCTTGTTTGGATGGAGAGATTCTTGATCTGAGGTGTTGAAATGTTAATCCCCAGAATCGTTTTCTGCATTTTAATTTCAATAATGAACTGAGAACCAACAGATGAAATGTATCATATGTAGCAATGCAGTTCAATGTCTTCAAGATTTGTCAATAAAATTGTGCAATCAGGAGTCAGGGTGATGTAATGCCATATAGGCGTTCGATCAATTGACCAGGACACTAGTTGACACAATTCTTGGGGCTGATCTTTCTGTATGCCTTGACTTAATGTTTTGTTTGTATCTGCAAGAATTCATAACTTCAGTTCTGTAGCCAGGGAACCTTCAGCATCTGTTTACTTGATGCGTCTGCTGTTTGTTATTAAGTCTGTCTGTTTCAATTATCTGTCCTCTTATTTTCTGCACATTACGGATTTGATTGTTTACCCTCAGTTTATTTTTATGTCCACTAATATGGTAAATTCCTGGTGTGATGTATTGTGTGACTGAGAGCTTGTGGTGGATGGAAAGTAGTTAGCATGATATTTTCGGTAAAGTGTAATATTAGTTTCAGTACATTATGTTCAGTACAGATGGTCAGATGCAAGCTAACCTGTTCACTTGGTGAAAATGCACAACCAGTTAGTTCTGCCAAGGGGCTGTACCTTTCATGGATCAGTTTCCACATCAGTTTGATGTGGTAATGCTATCCTAGCAAACAAAATGCACTGAAGCACATTATGATTTACAGGCTCGAAGGTGTTGTGGGGTGGTACCGCTCAAACCCTGGCTTCTATGGCCGTCCCTCCAATCATGATTCTGTTTTTCACAAGGTATGTTGCTATGTTCATTGTGTCACATTATTGTCAATATGTAAACCGTGCCTCTGCTAAAGTTTTGAACCATTGACGCCTGTCTGGTAAAAGCAATTCTGTAAAGCCATCGACTACTTAAATCTCAATCTGCAGGCCTTTGAACAGCTGAACCCCAGAGCAATACTTGTTGCTGTGGACCCTGTCAAGAGTGCGACGGGGAATTTTACGATGAATGCATTTCGATCAGTGACCTCTTATCATGAAACTTCATCCAATGTTGGAGCACTGAATCGAGAGTACTACAGCGTAGCGGAAGATGAGAAACCGTTCTTCGAGTTGGACGTAAATTAACAACCCAAGCATCCTTGATCTTAATGCTCAAGAGTCAAGTCATGTGCCGTCCATCTTACCTTCTCCATCTTTCTCATTTTCAGATATTTGCACAAGGATTGGCCTCAGTGTTCTACTCGATTCTGATAAGCCATCGGAAGAATGACCTTGAGATAAATATTTTGAAAAGCATGGACAAGATGGGAAGCAAAGGTTCGTCTAGTGAGGATTGCAGGAGTCTGTGTCAGTTTCCTGTTATGAGTGAATCTGAGAAGAAGAATGTTGAAGTAAGCAAGGATGCAAGCACATGAGCTTTGTTTAGTTTTTGGAAAGATAATCTCAACGTCTGCTTTGTTCTTGTGTTGACATTTGCTTATTGGGCAGGAAATGCTGATTGATCTACTCACCAAGTACCAGAACGAGGAGGAAATGCAAGAGAGTGATGCACCTGAGAATCCGCCTGACGCAGAAAATCATCTTGAAGAGCTTAAAAACCTGATGAGTGCATGCATACTTCAGATTTTTGGAATGATGTTGGCTTGGTCTTCCTTCTGAATAATCAAGGCATCCATACCATAGCTCCTTCTGATTGCTTGGTCGCTTTAACAGAAAGTTTACAGAAGTACAGTGAAAACTGACACAGAATTAGGCATTGTTCTACTGGTTTACACCTGAGTTCTACCATGTACATAGGAATTCCCTGCTGTTCTCAGTTCTGATATGGTACAGTCTTAGCAATGCATATGCTTCGTGTTTGTGATAGACAAAAACACTCTTATACTGTTCCATACATTCGCTTCCGGAAGAAGACTTGTTGTAATTGTTGCAAATTGCAGTTCTACTCTGAAATTTTGTCATGCATATGTGATGGTTTTACATATGACTGCCTTTTGTGATGTGAAATTTTGCCATTTCATTCAGGAGTACGTTGTCCCATGTACTGAAGTGTACTCTGCTTTACGTTTAGCTTCTCTCTCCACCGAGTATATGGACAATGTCTGAATGAAATCAATGAAGAATAAATGTACACAATTTATCTGAAAATATTTTTGTGCTTCTAACAGTAGTTCCATCAATTATTTAGTTTCAGTATTACCATCTCTGCATATACAATCAATGCACCTTCATTTTATATTAATCGCTGCAAACAAAGCATGCTGGTGAACGTGCAAATTGAACACTTGTGCGTTGTTAATTAATCAGGTCAAATATTTTTAATTTTGTCTATGATGGCACGCAATTTTTAATCACGTACGGGAGACGTGCAAAAATGGCGAATGATGATCTGAAAATAAATTTGAAATCCTAATTGTATGTCAAGTTGTATCAAAGTCATACTAATTGATCTGGCTCTTATCATCTACTACAAGTCTTATCATGCGAGAAGCTACTTTAGTACATTGACAATAGTTTTAAAATCTGGAATTATCAATACAACATCTAGTACATGTATATATTCCTCCAAGAATATGTTTAATTTGAACCACTAGATCAAAATACGATATACTTTATTCCTGATGATGGTATCTTACTTACACAGATGTTCATACAACCTGCAGGTGGTTTTTGTCGGTAACCAGTGAATTGAAGTAAATTTTCTCGAGTGGGAAATTAATTAACACAAGCCCATGACAAATTCAGAGTTAACGTAACAAAGGAAAGCAAATCTCAGAATTAAACGCAAACCGCCATATGCTTGAACATCTCATTAGGGATTCTTTTAGTAGGGGGATTCGCCGGGGATGTTGCCCGGCGGCCAGTAGTTGCAGGCGACGACGACGCCGGTGTTGTCGCCGGTTTCGCAGACGACGGTGGCGCAGCCGATGTCCGTCGAGTTGTACCACACCACCTGCGTGTAGTGGCCGCACGACTCCCCCGCCGGCGCCGTGCAGGTGTTGGTGTCGTGGTGGTACCAGTCACCATCAAGTGTTGGTGACACCCACGACGCCACGGCGTCGGCCGCCGTCGAGCTTTGATCGGAGTTGAAATACAGGTTCTCCCCGTAGTCCTCGGTAGACGAAGGCTGCAGATGGCAGCCACCGGCGTACAGATCCGCCGCGTATTCCTCCGCGAACGCCGCCACAGTGTCGTTCCAGACCACCGCCGGCACTTCCACGTTGCCCCTGGCCACGTTGTGCGGGTTCAGGTAGTCCTCCGGCGTCGCCACCGCAAGTGACGCAGCCACTAACAGTAACAGGCAGAGAGGGGCTAGCCTGCTGCTTGATGATAACCACGCCATATTAATTTGCAGCACTTGAACAGACCAAACCTTAGCTAGTCCAATATATATGGAGAGAGAGAGATGTATTATTCGATATCTGCCCACAGGTATATTTATACTACTGTACTGGTACTGGCTCGACGACTTCTGCATATGTACTGTATACTTTCATATACTTGTTCTCTCCGTTTCAAAATATAACTAGAGTCGCAAAATATATACTGTAATATAACATAAGCATTTCTAGACGTTAGTATCATTTATGTACGTACGGAAAGCGTATGATACTCCCTCCGTCTCAAAACAAATTTGTCTTAAGGAAGAATATATTCGTCTTTTCATATTACATACTAATCTATCTAATATACTTCCATCATAAAAAAATATATAAGATGCAACCACCAATGCAAACACCGAGAAAAAAATTATTACCACCTTTTTGTTTGGAGCATTCTAATAAATACAAATGCATGCACCCAATGAGAGTGAAGAATTTTATTTTTAAAAAAATGAATTTAAGGGATAGAGATGTGCTAGTTAATTGGATGCATCGATGGTGTGTGCACACATTGTATTATGTAACATCATAGTTACGCCTTATATTTTGGGACGGAAGGGAGTCTAAAACTTTAGATTTGTAATGGAAGAAAATTGACGAACGAAATTAAATATTACCACTGTTTGATTTTTTTTAACGGGGGCAATATAATCCAATTCTGTCCCGAATCCCGATTAAATTCCAAAAGTTTACTTGATGGGGTCAACACATCTTTCTCTCTCTGCCCGCACACACTACTCTTCATTTCTTTTGCTAGCTAGCTAGCTATAGATTGATCGATCTGGCTCAATAAAATTTATCAAACTGCCCGTCCAATGCAATGTGCTCGATCGGTCGAGTCTGGTTTCGAGATGCCATGTCTTCTTCTTAATTAATTAATTAGTTCTACACGTATTGCATGCACATGGCCAACGAATTATATCGATCCCTTTGCAGTTAACTCATCAGCCGGGTCAAGATGCATGGTAGCGTCAGTCCAATCAATCGAGCTGGATATGTACTAGTTAATATCTACGGGGGATAACGAGCTAGTTCGGCTCCATCACTCATTTGAGCTCGTTATCTTAGGACGTGTTTGCTTGGCTGCACCAGGGGATGTCTTGCAAACGACGTGTTTGGTTGCCTGCATCGGCGTGTGAGTCAGGAATCATCAGTGCAAAAGTGACCTCCAAGCCAGGCTAAGAGAAAACGTGGAAATCGGCCGTGGTTCCTTAGCTAGGCCTGGCTCATGCTAACGTGGGGTTGAGCATGTGCGAACATGGGATGGGCGGGCATAGGAGATGCATAGGGGTCAACATATCCTAGTTACCATCTCTGTTGCTGCTTGAGCCGTCGTGTCCACCACCTCTTCTTCAGCAACTCCAGCCGACGCCTATATGAGTTTATCGCCACCATATCTTGTTCCTCTTCTCCTATAGATGTTGTTGGCATCATCTCTCTCGTCGACCACAGACTCCCTCCTCAAACTAGATCCGTAGTAAGGGGGCGAGCTCCGAGCGGCAAGGTTGTACATGAGCGACGACGGTTACGAGATACCAATGCCCGCAATTTCTATAGGAATAAAAAACACATAAAGTTTCTAAATCGTCATTTGGTCGACACATAAGATACACATGAATTCAGAATCATGGGAAGAATAAAACACGAGGTAGAACCTCATGTTTATTTTTTTTCTAAAGTCTCTATAATTGTCCATTCCATAGGACTTTAAAAGAAATTATAGGACTTAATCCTTTATTTCAATAACCTTGGAATTCACCAATTTTCCTATGCTTTTCGTACAAATTAAAAAGGCCTTAACACACATATTTCTCTGAACTGTCAATGGTAGTTCGTTGTGGATTCATATATATTGTGTGATTTTTTATGCCTGGATCATTAAGATGCGATTACCTGGGTCTTAATTATCACCTCTCTTAACATGACAAGCTATTTTAAGTATAATGACCATAGCTTATACTCATTTGGAATTGTACAATATCCATTCTGAAGTAGTTTTTTTTTTTCTGCAGTAGCTTCATGATCGGCATATAAAATGACTTGATACATGTATCAAGCTAGAGGATACCGACACTGCGACACATATGAGGATTGAGGCTTTTCTTGCTATCCCAACCCTTGACGTGAGTCTAAACTTTAGCATGGCTGACGGCTTTATTCCCACCGGCACAAGTACAAACATATATATACGTATGCACATGCTTATACGTACGTACATGCACGTATATAATTAACCATGCGAACTGTGTGTAAATTGTAAAAATAAAAACAAGGACTACATACTACACGTACATAGTCCTCCTGCAGCTGGCCGGATCAGCGTATATAGAATTAATTTCCTCCGATTCATACTATAAGATTTTCTAGCATTGCTCTATATGCGCCTAGATTCATTAATATCTATATGAATGTGGGCAATACTAGAAAGTCTTATAAGCTGAAATAGATGTAGTATAAATTAGCCGTATATATACGTACGATGAGCTCAGTAGTAATACTAATCAATTAGTAGGGCGGTTTGCCGTTGTAGTTGCCCGGCGGCGAGTAGTTGCAGGTGATGAAGACGCCGTGGCTGTTGTCGCAGACGACGCGGGCGCAGCCGATCGCCGTCGAGTTGCTCCACACCACCTGCGTGTAGTGCCCGCACGAGCTCCCCGCCGGCGCCGAGCAGCTGTTGCTGTCGTGGTCGTACCACTGCTTCTCCGCCACCCACGACGACACCGCGCTCGCCGCCGTCCAGTCCCCGCCGGCGGAGCCCCAGAAGATGTTCTCGCCGTACTTCCCGCCGGAGTCCGAGTGCTCCAGCGCGCAGTCGCCCTGCCGCTGCGCCGCGTAGCTCTCCGCGTACGCCGCCACCGTGTCGTCCCAGCTCACCGGCCCCACCCCGACGTCGGACCTCGCCGCGTTGTGCGGGTTACGAAGTCCTGCGCCGAGTTCTGCGCCATGGCCGCTGCAACCATTATTGCAGCTACGACGAACACGCAGCAGGCTACAGCCCTGCAGCTTGGTGATGACGACCCTGCCATTGATATGATGTTAAGTAATTAAGCTTTAACACACCAGTTAATTAAGCAAATAGATTGTTATGTATGTATAACAATTAAAGCTTATTGGCTGGTGTGGGAGTGAGCTATGTATGGTCATATATGCCGGGTATTTATAGTGCTAGCTCGATGACTTGTGTGCATGCATTAATGTACATATGTTCTCTGGTCAAATTAATTTATCCCGAAGAGAGCTCTTAGGCCACACATAATAAAAGTTTTGTTCTTATTAAATGGAGTAAATTTCACAAAACTATAAGTACTTTGATCAAATTACGATATATTATAAAACTAAAGATTTAACACTAAATTTATCACAAAATTACATGTTTAAGATGAAATGTTTTATAGATTTACTAACAAAGTTATCGCAAACTACATGGTTAATATAAATTTAATCACAAAACTTTGTTATCCATAATTCAACATAGCATTAGTGCGAAGGATTTAAAACCCAAAATAAATAGATTTATGATAATTTTATTATTAAATCTGTAGTTTTGTGATAATTAGCTTAAAATCTATAGTTTTAAGATAAATTTATTGTTAAATTTATAGTTTTGTGATACATCACCTTAAATTTGTAGGTTATGATAATTCGATCAGAGTGTATATAGTTTTTTTGAAATTTACGTACTCTATTAAATATGGTGTCATATATGTTTTTTATAATTAGTGTGATAATAAATTAATAAAGTGAGAAATTAAATGGGTTTCATCTAGATGAAACTATGTGTGCTTTGTTTCTAATATACTTTGTCTATTACATATATTGCTTTTGAAACAATAAGAATAAAACAATGTATTATACGGACTATTCCATTTATCAATTAAATGCCTTGTTGTTTATTTGACAGATCGAAACGCACAAAATGACATCTTCCATTGGAATTTACTTTATGAAAAAAAAAATTCCACGCACGCGATAAGTAGGGCAGTTAATTGGAAAAGGGACGTGCATTCATGCCCTTTGGAAATTTTGAGGTTTAATTTAATTAGTTCATATATACTAGTTTACATAGCCCCGCGTACACGCATACATACAGAAGTTGAAGATTAATTAGCTACCACCTCTGCCTTAAAATAAGTTTATTTTTTATCCAATTCACACATATAAATAAAAAACAAAAAGACTATAAATACCCTACTTTATCAAATCCCAATGAAACTATATTTCACTTTATCTACTCAATACAAATATTTTCTTATTCGATGAAATGATTACTAGATCTAAAAATAAATTTATTTTGGGACTAATGGAAAAAAATAAAAATAAACTTAATATGGGACGGAGAAATTAGTTATGGACCGGCTGTGTCGTGTTTAACTGGTTAAGTATGTGTCATAGTCATAGTTAGCACAAACGAACAGCAAAACTGCAGCTGCCGCTATTGCCTCCATTCAAAGTCGTTGATCAATCGATCTTGATGCATAGAAATTTAATGAGAAAAGACCCAGATACAACGACTCAAGTGACCTACGTACCTGGTCTGCTTATACTAAATTTATCTTCTTTTTAAGAATGTACGTAGGAGTATTTATATATAGGCAAAGAGCAAAAAAAATTGTGTAACAACTGCAGCTAATGGATATAATTTCACATGTATTTGGGAATCTACATTAATTTCCCAGCTAATGGATATAATTTTGAAAAAAAAAACTCCAAGTATAAATGGACAGTTATTGGCCAAGTATACTAGCTCCAAGAGCAAAAGAATATAATATATAGCTGGTTAAACCGTATGTATAATCCTCAGTATATTAAGCAAAAGCACTGCAGGTGATGAATCTATAGTTTATATAAAGTTACAACTCACTAAAAGTCTAAAGCTAACCATGTCACATCATCACCACTAGCAGTAATTACATATTTAACATCATGCAAGCATGTAATATCATATACATCTACAAATTATTTAATTCTATAAAGCAACATACAAGCATATCTAATCATCATCCCTCACATCATTTCTACAATATTTTAACAAATCTATCAATCACTTTTATAATATTTAACATATACTTATCAATATGTTTCACACTAAAGCGCGGATATTATTTGTCTGTTTTATAATAAGTATGATAAATCCTGACGTTTCATCATTTTTTTCTTTATGCTCCTTGCTCGACTGTAAAAAAAATTATTAAAAATTGCTTAGTAAGTTTCGCAGCTAGCAAATTAAAGCGCGAAAAATCAACAAGTATAAACTAATTGAAGGGTAACTAGCTAGAGCTAACTAATTAGCTTGCATTATTCATAGAGATGAGGCATGCAATCTTGTCTTGCGTACGTGTCGTGAATCTTTTGAGGTTTACAGTTGCCAACAGGAGCGGTCGTTTAATTTGATTTATTCCGGTCGAATGACGTGTGATATATGCAACGCCTGGTCGTGATGATAACTACTCCCTTGCTACTCATAAACGAAATCGTTTTGACAGTGACAGTCTCCAAGACACAACTTTGATTTTTTATTTCTATAAAAATATTTATTGAAAAGTGATATATGTATATTTTTATGAAAGTATTTTTCAAGACAAATCTATTTATATAATTTTTATATTTTCAAACTCAATAAGTTAAGAGTTATTCATGATTTATATTTCTAACATTTAATTTAAACATTGTCCTAAACGTTTTTTTTATGAGTACGGAGGGAATATGCACGTCGTTGACTCGTCGTGTCCTGACGATCGATCCATGTCATGCACAGAAATTTCCCAAATACGAGATTAGCTAGTCTCTCTTTGTAATTTTGTACGTGCTTTCGAGTTTCGACTTTCGAGTAGCTTATATTTACCACGTGGTCCAAAGCAATGTGAGAGGAAAGAACCAGATGGGCCGGAAATGGAGAAGGATAGCAGGCCAACTGGACTGGAAAGAATCGGGCCGCAATGGATTTAGAAGGGGAAGAGAGAAGGGGACGACCTGGGCCGGCCAGTGTTGGTCTGAAAAAGGAAAAAGTAGACCGAAGGTCTCTAAACTTGTCATCTAGTTACAAAACATCCTCAAACAGCAAAATCAGATATTCGGTATCCCTTAACTAATCAAAACCGATCACAATGGGTCATTCGGTGGTTTTGACCCCAGTTTTATCCGACGTGTGGCGGCTTAAGTCAGCATGGGACCCACATGGGCTCCACATGTCAGGATACCACGTCATATCTCTCCCCCCTTTTCTCTCCCTGAGGTCAGGGATCCCCAACACACCGTAGGTTTTAGGATGACAGACGTTCATCCAGGACACCTGACACTGCCCCCCCATGAGCCGAGTTCGTACCCGTCCACAAGAAGGTGCGCCGTTTCTTGTCAATGGCCTTAATAACCCAGACTGGAAGACCGATCACCATAGATACATGGACCGGAATGGAGGAGAGAACCGACTCGACCAGCACAAAACGGCCAGCCAGAGTGGTAAGTCGTCCCTTCCAAGGCAGGAGTCAATGGGAGACTTTATTCACAAGCGGTTACAAGGCCACCTTCGGCAACTTGCGAACGGACAGCGGAATGCCGAGGTAGGTACAAGGGAAATCAAAAACTGAGCAGGGAAAGCAGGACTGTACCAGCTCCAGGTCCTCAGCCGAGCAACGGATCGGAGTAATCGAGCATTTGGGGGAAGCCGGCGAGCTCCTCCCAAGGCCAAATCTGCCGTCGCCGGCGAGCTCCACCGTGTGGAAAGGGAGGAGAAGGGGTGGCTACGGTCGTCGGCGAGGAGCTCGAAGGCGGGGGCCCAGAGGAGGTGGTGGCTCGGCAGCTATCGCCCTCGCCCAGCTCCTCCCCCCGGTGGCAGACCGTTGCCGTTCTGCTCCATTGGCCACCGCGCGCTCGCCCGCCTGCCGCCACCGCCGCTCTGCTCCACCGGCCGCCGCGCGCTCGCACGCCGCCTCTGCTAGCCGCCGCTCAGCCCCGCTCGCCGCCGCGCATTGCTACTCCCCCGCGGCAAAGAGAAGAAAAAAATAAGAGAAAAGAAAAAGAAAGGGCAAAGACGGGATGCTCCGCATCGCCGCCGCCGCAGCGTCGCTGGACCTCCTTTCCCGCCACGCCCTGTCGGTCTCTTGCCCACTCGTCGGCTGGCCTGCGAGAGAGAGAGAGAGAGGAGGAAGAGAGAGAAGAGGGGAAAAAGTGAGATGATGTGGCATCCTGACATGTGGGGCTCACGTTGGTCCCACGCT